TCAGGAATCCTAGTCACCAGCTAGTAGCACCTATAGCAAAACACCTTACTGAAACCAAGTTTCTAGTTTAATATAAAGATGCAGTGATTCCACATTTGTGAAATGTTGCTTTTTTTTTTTTTTTACATTCCAATAAGCACCTGTGGAAATCTTTACTCAAAAAACTTCATCACTTGCATGGAGATGAGTCTACTTTTTATGAATACTCTAGTCTTATCAGAACTCACAGAACAAGGATCAAAAGCTATTATTTCAAAACTATAGAAATTCCTGATTTATCTCATTGTTTCCAATACTGTCAAGTCAGTTCCAACCTGTAGCACTACTATATATGGTTTCCGAGGAGTGGTGGGTGGGTTTGAACTACCAACCTTATGGCTAGCAGTCCCACTCTTATCCTACAGAGCCATACCAGGACTCTTTTATCTACTTGAGCAGATGAAAACCAATTAATTGATAGAGCCATTAGGTGCCACAGAAATAGCCACTTGAAGTATATGCTGACTTTTTATTATCCCATTTACTTAAATTTTTTTTTAACACAAGATTTATGAGTTATAGGTACCAAGATATTCTCATGTCTTAAATAATTTAGATGGCTTCATCTCATCAATTATTCCCACAGCTCAGTCATAGGGAAAGTGAAATTAATGCCTACAGAATCTTGTTTCCACATGTTAGAAATATGAACTTCTGTCCCCTAAATGTGAAGGCGAGGATTTCCATTCTAGTTAATGAGGATTTGTTCATCCCCAGTAGAGTAAAACCATCAGCTCCCTTGGGAAGCCCAACACAGATCACATCTGGTAGATAGATGATCATGGATGGAGACTCTCCCACTTAGAAGGGGACATCTACTAGTCATTGTGTACATAAGTCACCCAGGGAGCTTGTTAACATACAGATTCCAATTCAGTAGGTCTAGGATGAATTCTGAGTCTACATTCTAACAAGCTCCCAGGAGATGCTGATTTTGTTGTCTAGGAGACACACCTTTGAGTATCATGGATTTAGATCAGTGCTTTTTAAACATGAGTCGGCAAAAGAATCATCCAGGAGGCTTATTTAAGTACAGGTCTCTGTTCCCCAGCTCCAGAGATTGATGTACAAGCAGAGCCTGAGAATTTGCATTTCTAACACTTTCCCAGGTGATGCTAATACTACACTCCAGTAGCAAATCCCTAGTTAACTTTGGGGCATATGCTTCCAACATTCCCAACATTATCCTTTCTGAAAACAAAGAGCCAAATACCAAAAGATTAAGAGGATGTTGTGAGCTGTCCCCTTGCAGTAAATTATGTAGCAGATGTGAAGTGTGCCAGAGGGTCTCTGTGAATTTTTGCTTTGAAAATACGCATTTTTGACTAAAGATGAAACAGTGCTTCTGGAACCAAATCTAGAGTTAAGGAAGAAGAACTTTATCCCTAAAGTAGTGCTGACTGAATAACACTGGACTAGTTATTTTTGGATTGTAGATCTATATGTATATGAGAAAAGGCTAGTTGTTAACATACATATTTACATCTATATTTGTAACTAAATAGCAAGTGTTAACATTGTGAAGTTTGAGTATTCCAGAGCACTGAATTGTGCTCATGAGGAATCTGTACATGGACCAAGAGGCAGTTGTTTGAACAAAACATGGTGTAGTGCTGTATGATAAGCACTAGACATTGAGGTCACTTTGAACCACAAGGTCAGTAGTTCAAACCCACCAGCCACTCCTCAGAAACACTATACAAGATCGCTATGAGTTGGAACCAACTCAGCGGCACTTAAAAACAATAACAATCTTTAGATCAACATGTCTATACATTATTTTTATGGGAAAGGTGTCCTAATGCTCTAGGCAAAGAAGATAAATGGGGTTAAGGTCCAACCATTTCCTGGAAGCTGGACACTGTCTGCGTGGCAGACACAGTAATTTCAAGGAGACTTGGTGAGAGACCAAAAGTGGAGATTTAGTAGTAGCTCATGTTCTTTTCCACAATCCCCTTCAATAATCTAGCCCAAACCCGACATGTACCTTCAAAGATCTTCTCTTTTTTTCCTTCCTTCTCTTTAGAAATGCTGAAGTAAGTTTTAAGTTCTTTTAGACCAAATTAGAAAAGATTTGAAATTGAGAGGACAATGGAAACTAGCAGAAAGAGAGAAGAGAAATAAGCTGATGGGGACATCTTGCCAGACTTGCTGTAGCTGTTCAGTTTCCCCATCTTCCAAGCTGCCCTCAGGATGGCAGGGTCAGAGGAACTGTGGTGTGTATGGATCATAGCATTCAAGGGTCACTATTCAGGGTCACTACAGCACTCCCTCCAGAAGTGTGCAAGCCCCGAGGTTCAAAGATGCACCTCCTGTGACATTATGTAGATCATTAACATATGTGCTTATTTTCACCAATGCAAATATATATATATATATATATATATATATATCTCACATTTCTTGCATTTGTTGATCTGGTAAGCACGTAAAGATGTTTTGTGTCCTGTTAACTCCTGGCATAACTTTCCAACTCAACTTTTGCGCTCTACTGACACCTGCTGGCATTATATCTATCTTAAAATTTTTTAAAAAGCCAAACAAAACAGAAGAACACTTTTTTTTTTTTCTTCTATCGTCTTTCCACCTTATACTAAGCATGCTGTCCATGAAAGATGAAAATAGAGGGGGAGGAGGGAGGACTGATGGGTCTTTTACACATCATGGAGAGAGAAGTGTGAGGCAGCAGTTGGGAGGAAATATCACAGAAGTGAAACATACACAACAGAGTTCTTATTGCCTTTCTGCTCCTTACCAAGTGTTCTGTGACTTTGGGCACAGCCCTTGACCTCACTTTCATCATTATGAAGAGGAAGGAGCCTTCCCAGCACCCTTTGGGGCTTGTGAGAATTCTAGGGACATTTCCTAGTAACCACTGCCACTGAAGGGACTACCTCAAGGTCACTTCAGTGACCTTTTCATCTCCGTAAACAACTGAGATGAAAAGCTCTTCATCAACACTATTTTCAAAAGATGGATGGAAGTCACTGAAGTCCACTTAAAGCCCATCAACTCTGCAATTTATTTGTAGAAACAACTAAATTAGAAAGATCAGAAGCCCATGAACAATTTCCAAACTTGTCTAGTTTTACCCTAGGAACCGATCGACTTTACTTTGTGTTTTGGAACAGGACACAACCCTTCAGCTAATGCCAACCAAATTATTTGTGCTTTTTCTGTCTGCTCTTGAGAAACTGTGTGGGCTTACAGCTTGTTAGGTCAGTAACAGGATATGTGATAGTCCGCTGGGAGTTAGAATCCATATTTAGCCTGGCAGAGGAAGCGGGGTCTAACAATGAAAAATCATTGAGGCATTTCTTTTAATGCTACATTATCATTTCTTCCTCCTGCTTCACAATCCTCACGTCATCATCACGCTTGCTGAGGCTTCTGATGCTTTTTACAGTTCTCAGAAAATGTCCTTTTTTAGCTGTGAAAGGAAATTTACCTCTTAAAGGCCTCAGTCTCTCTTCAGAAAGCTACTGTAGGGACAATGGGTGCACAAAAAGGAAAAGGAAAATGACATTAGAATTCAGGCGTTGTTTCTGGCCCATGCAAGGACTTAATCTCTGAACCGTGTTAAACATAGGAGTACTAGGCAGTCATGTTCCATTGGATGTTATGTGATAATGGAAATGTACTCTATAATTTGATAACCATGAGCCACATTGAGTACTTTAGGATAAGCACTGGACTGCTGACCACAAGTTCAGTGGTTCCAACTCATCAACTGTTCCTGGTAAACGCTCCACAGGGTCGCTATGAGTCAGAGCCAGTTCTACAGCACTTAACAACAACAAGGTAGCCACATGTGGCTGTTGAGCACTTAAAGTATGGAGAGTACAGCTAAGACACTAAATTATGACTATTATTGTTGTTGTTAAATGACACTGAGTTGGTTCTGACCCATAGCTACCCTATATAGGGTTTCTAAGGAGTGGCTGGTGAACTTGAACTGCTGACCTTGAAGTTCAAACAACTTTGCAGTCTGGCGCATTAACCCACAGCATCACACCAGGACTCCAGGACTATTATTAATTATTGAACTTAAATTTAAATAGCTACATGTAGCTTGACTGTATGCCTAGGAAGGCAAATACCAGCTTCTTTGTGGTCCACAGTTCTGTTTAACCCACAGTATCCATTTGTTCTAAGGCATTTGCCAAGGGTGTAATTATTTTCACAACTTGGATGGCATTCATTGGCATCTGCTTCTTTGACTCAAGGGCAGTGTTGGCCTTAACATCATGGAGCAGCCTATTTTACAAAAATGCCCTTCAGAGACCAACATTCCTTTACTGTCATGCATAATCTTTCTTTTCTTTGTAAACTCATGGAGTCAAGATATGAATTACAACAAAGGTCCAAGTCCTTATACAGAAATTATGTGATCACATTGCTGCTTGCTCAGGGTACCCTGGCGGTCAGGAATATTTGACTTTTTAAGGCTTTACTGAAAAGCACAGGCAGGTGAGAAATGTAACAATCTCTTAGACTGAATCAGAGTCACACAATGAAATTGATGAACTCCTATGCATTCATACTCTAAAATGGGAATGATTAAATGTGCCATCACTTAATGTATAATGTTACTTAGAAATCATGAAGATTGCCAGCAACCATTAAAAAAAAAGAGGCAGGGTGGGGCTTAAATTTAAACAGGCTGCAAATAGAAAGCTTAATAGATCAATCAGTAAGCAACATTCCTTTGTGGCAACCCAGTGTTTAATCACACTCTAGATGCCACATTTATCTTCATGGAAAAAACGAAAGCTATTTAGTAAAGAGTAAATTATGAGCTTGCAAAATATAAATGGCTGTACGGCAAGGTGGCATAAAAGAAGTGTTTATATTTTTATTACTGCCCCTCACGAATAATGTACTAAAAGCTGTTTAATCAGAGCCACGTTCTTGAGTCCCGCTGATTTGCTCACCAAGAATACTTATCCTTTCTCTTTCAGCAATGGGTAGAAGGCCTGCGATCAATCATACACAACTTCAGGGCCAACAACGTGAGTCCAATGACATGCCTCAAGAAACAGTGAGTTTTGTTTGCATTGCCCTTTATTCTTAAACTGTTATTAAGTAAATGGTCAGATTAGGAGATGAAGTCTAAGTGTGTGATGAGGCAAATGCCTGGTAACGCACACTTCCACATTCCTGACCTTGGGAAAAGAGTTGACCCTTGCACCCCTCTACTCTTCATGCCACCCGGGGGTAGGGGGTGGCATACATGGTGAAACCTACATGAACCAAGTGTTGATGGCAAATGATGCTAGAAATGTACGCCCAAAATCCTCTGGGACTTTTATATCCCTAGATTGGGTCGTCTGTTAAATACCTCTATGTGCATCAGGCCATAGCTGGGCATTGCCGGAGCTCACGCCTTCACTGTATGAAACTGAGACATGAAGAGTAGGCTCAAGATCAACTTTCAAAGGCTCTCATTGCTAGGGTAAAACAAGGAAACACTGATACCAGATATAGTGCCTCTGCTTAGTCTATAGTCAGGGATCCAAAAAGCAGGATTTAGCCCATCTCACAGTATATAATATCCAGAGTGGTCCTGCGATGATAGGTTTTAATCCCACCCAAGTTAGTTATACTTTCAAGGTGACCTGAAAGTGATCCAAAATAGATCCTAGCCAAAGCTGAACGTCCATCAACATGTGTAAAAAGCAGGGATAAGTGAAGGTTTAGGGCCATCTGCCAGCCCAAGTCTATTGTAAGTAGTTATGAGGTGCTGAAGGTCAGTGCATTGGAAAATTGCAGGGATAAACCTGTGTCACTTAAAAGCAGGAAAAAGAACCAAGGGTGAGGTTCTTTATACTTGCCAGACAATAGGCTCCTTCAGGTTCCTCCATTCCTTACTTCCATTCACTTTGGCAAAGGCTGAAGGGCATGTGTTCTGAGTTTAAATCCCTAGCATTTGGTTCCTGGGTGACCTTCCACAATGTTCTTAGCCTGATATCTCACAGTTCTCCTCTGGGAGTAGAGATGATGACGCTTACCCATCTTAACAAAACTGCCATGCAGCACACGTGAAAGCACATAAAACACGTAGCTCAGGTTGACCTCAGTAATTCTTCATTCAACTTTAGCTATTTTGATTTTTTATGGTATCTTTCCAACTTCCTTTCCATCCCCTTGGTAGAAGGAAGTTAATAGCGGTACATATTCCTATTTGTTGTGTAGCCTGTCCTTTTCTGCTACAGTTACCATAGTTTGTTGTTGTT